CATGATAATTATTTTGCATTTAATTTAAATTAATGTTAAAGTTTAGATCTAAAATTGAAATAAAGACAAAAGTTTAGGGGATATTATTGATAAACATAATTTAAGCAAATTTACACAAACAATAATAGGTCAATGTGTTAAACAATAATGACAAATGCATTTATTTGCTAGTTACTAATGCATCCACATACCTGATGCTTGAGAAGCAATATACTGACTCGTGTGTCTTCCACTACCTATTTCACTTAAATTATTGCTGTAAAATTCACATATATGTAAATGACAGATGTAAAATACATTAAGCTATATACATGGCAAAGACGCCTACCCTATGCATGCTACCTAGGTCAGTGGATAATGTGGCCAGTCAATATTTAATGGACCTTATGCACCGAAATGATTCTAAGTAACGTGCATCCAAAGTGGTGGTAAAATGGTGGATTTCTGGAGGGAAAGACAGGCTAAGCAATCTTCTCTTTTATCCATCCATTCTAGCTGTGGGAACCACTTTGAGCTGTCCTTTTGTTTCAGTATACTCTATTTATCTCTTTTGTAAGCTCTTTGGTTGCTGTTTTGGCTTTTATACCATTATTATCATAGGAATTTTCGCAACCATTGGCCATTCCCGTTTTTCTAAATTTTGCTTTCAGGAGCCTGGGTGCTTGCCCCTCCATAGCTAGGAAGATAGAAGTGCATTCAGCTGAGTCCTATGACTAGTGTCTATCGTCAGAGTTAGTTTTAGTCCATCAGGACAAGGTACGGTGGAATAACTCACTCAGTTGTTATTTTGCAGCTGGAGTGTGGATGATTATGACCATCTTTTCACTTCTTAAAACTATAGGTTGGCTCTTATAGATAGTTGAGGCATGTAAGAACTCATTCTTTATCTGTAAATTCACTGATTGTACTGTATGAGCATCTCATGTCATTAAAATTTGTCAGTCGCTATTCAGTACTTGCAGAAAGGAATCATCACATTCAGGATTCGTTCATGGCTCTTCACCATTTGTATCCTCTGCCAACAGTTTTATTTATTATTTTGAATTATAAAAAACATAATGGGTGTTGTTGCTAGAACTATTATTGTTGTTATCACTAGGTCACTACATTGCATTTGTATAGACGACTATTTATGCATTTACTCATACTTTATGATAAACAGTATATGTGACTGGATATGAGAAAACCAGGCTATCTGCGGGAATTATCATTTTGAGCTATGGGCTCATAATCACGAAAAATATTTACCTGGGCGAAATTCATTTTATCACATAAACATGTTATATAAACAAAATCCTTTCATTTGATACCAAAATCAGGGGTATCAAAGCCTTCTTTGCCGAGTTATAAGCCCTTCGACATTTTTACCTTGATTGTGCACGGAGAATGTTACACGGAGCAACCACGGAATAAAAACGGTGGGCTTTAATGCGTCATTAGGTAACCATGGAGTCTCTATAGCAACTATTTAAAGTATAACAAAGACAAAGACTACTTTTAAAGCTATGCTACAGAAAAAGACATTGCTCGCTTGTTAAATGAAGAAATAGGTCCTCGAGACAGTGACTACGTTGCTTCAGTTCTTGGGGACTACTTTTTTGATGAAACTAGTGGTAAGCTTATTCATAACACTGTTTACATACTAACTGTGAATAGCGGTTAGCTATCACAACAATAACATCCCATCACCTGTATAAATGCATAATATTATTATATTAAACTTAGTTATACAGTGTATTTGTTAATTGATAGAGACAGACTATGAAGCAGTAGAAGATATGGAAGAAGAGGTAGAGGAAGGGAAAGAAGAAGAGAATGAGACAAAAGATTGTGATGAAGATACTAATCCACCACTGTTTGATCCTGAGGTGGCTGTGGAGCTACAAGTATCAGATCTTGATTTAGAATCAGCGACGCCTGACGCTCCAGCTACTTCAACTACTCACTCTTGTGATGACATGAGGAAGGAAGACCTACAGGAGGAAGAAGATTTATCAAAGTTCTTTGAACATGGATGTGGTTGCTCAGATAATTGCTATGCACTGTTCAGTCACTCTTACATAAAAACATTTAGATGTGACATACAAGCCATGGCAAAGCCTGTTCAAGAAATTGCTATTATGAGTCAAATGGCAGCAACATCTACCATGGGGGGATTGTCGACTGGCAACCACAGGAGACAGAGAGAAAGAGGCAATTTTTTACGTTCATGCATCAAGGTCATAAGGTTTGTAACTATGAGTGACACAACACAAAATTAATTGTTTTTCAACTAGATATGTAGAGTAACATATCTGAAGCTACATGCATGTGGCAAAAGCAGGTTTGAGGAAATCATGAAAAACTACAGAATGAATGGATTAATACCAAGGTATGAGACTTACAAATTAAATGTTATGTACTTAACTTTATTAGAGTTCACGGAAATGCTGGAAAGACACCAAACCATGCTTTGACTTATGATGATATTCTCTGGGTTGTTGCTTTCATCAGCAATTACGCTGGAGTCCATGGAATCAGTCTTCCTGGAAGAATTCCTGGAATGAAAAGTTACGAGAATAAGAAGTTCTTACCATGCAGTACATCTAAAAGGCAGGTATACTTAGAGTATGTGGAATCATGTGAAGGGCTTTATGTCAAAGCATGTGCTGAAACAACATTCAACATGTTGTGGCGACGCTACCTGCCTTATATTGAAAAAATGAAGCCTATGTCTGACTTGTGTGCCACTTGTAAAGAGATAAGTGGACTGATTATAAGAAGTGCTAACATGCAATCAGATGAAAGGATAACTGAGGTAAGTCAGTGTTATAATAATACAAGTATTATTTAGAATTTTCAGGCAATGCAAAAGGCACTAGATCACAGAAGTCTTGTTAAAAAGGAAAGGGAGTACTATAAGGATGTATTAAAAGAGGCACAATTATTGTTAAAAAGGCTGTATACCGATGCAGCAAACAATTACAATCCCCCACTAACAAAGCCACTTGCTATGTTAAATATTGTAGCACATTATAGCTTCGATTATGCTCAACAGGTAACATTTTATGATACTTATGAAAGTGTATCTAGCTCACTTACTTTTTCAAAGGTTCACTATCCTTCAAGTCCACTACAAGCGGGTCCAATTTATTTTCTTACTCCCAGGAAATGTGGCATATTTGGTGTGTGCTGTGAAGCTATCCCTCAGCAGGTTAATTTCTTGATCGATGAATCATTTGACACTGGTAAAGGGGCAAATCCTGTCATAAGCAAGGTACATTTCTATTTGAAGAATCATGGCCTCAACTCAGTCAGTATCCATTTCAAAGCTGACAACTGCACAGGGCAAAATAAAAATAATACAGTTATTCAAGTAAGTATATTACATGCACAATAATGAACATTTTAAATGTAATTTTTATTTATTTTAGTACCTCTTATGGAGAGTCACGACAGGACTCAATGCGTCCATTTCAATATCTTTTCTGCCAGTTGAACACACAAAATTTTCTCCTGACTGGTGCTTCGGACTATTAAAGCAAATATTCCGTAAAGCAGAGGTGGACTCATTGGATGACTTCATTCAAGTTATAGAACAATCATCTGCTGTGAACAAAGCCCAACCAGTAGGAAGTAGCAATAGTGAACTCATTGTAGAAACACTTGACTGGTGTAGTTTACTACATTATTCAAGAAAATAAAAGGCAACAAAGGCTTTCAACACTTTGTTGTAAATGCGACCTCACCTGGTGTAGTGGCAGCCAGACAAGCTTTAGATGGCCCAGTCACACAATTCAATTTGCTGAAGGAGGATGCTCAAATAATGGAAGATGAACTACCTAATATATTACCACCAAAGGGTGTGTCAACTGAAAGGAAATGGTACCTTTACGAAAAGATAAGACCGTTTTGCAGATACGAATGTAAAGATGTAACCTGCCCACTTCCTGATGCACCTCGACTAACAGGATCATCTCGACAATCAACTCCAGGTGTAGATGATCCACCAGACCTCGCAAGGAGATTGAAGTACCACATTCTCCAAGGCAATCTCTAGAACCACCTGCAACATAAAGAAAATGTGGTAATTGTGGTCAATTTGGTCATAATAGAAGAACTTGTCCATGTAATCAGTAAATGAATAACAGAAATGAGTTTGTGTAATGCACATACTATTGATCCCCTTTCAACAGGAGAGGAACTAGTTTGTCTACAACAAACAGACTATTGATCCCCTGAAACAGGAGTGGAACTAGTTTGAATGCCAAATATTCAAACTATTGATCCCCTAAAGGAGAGGAACTCATTTGTAAGGCTAAGACATAAAAACTATGGATCCCCTTTTTTGAAAACAAAGGTGTGGAACTAGTATGTGCGTGAGACGTCAACATAAACGCAAACACTCATTTTTGTTTAAAACTTACTAACTCAAAAGAGAAGGCCCGAAAGAAAGTTAGTCACGAAGTTATCATGCAAGTGACTTGTGTTTATCTGTACAGGTGAGAGGACTGATGATAAAAATGTGTGGGAGGAGAATACCGAAATAGAAGTTATTGCGTCATTCACAGCCAATCAAAGAACACCAAGTGTCACCTGTGACCTTTAGGAAATAAAATAAGATACCTGAAACTGTAACTTCAAAATCAAAAAGTAATGGCTGCCCCAATAGAGGATGTCCTCATTGAGGTCCATCCATCTGATGGTAAGTTGGGAATGTGTAACCCTATAGTGATAACTATAATGCCTTTTGTTTTTGGTAGATGAACTTGGTAAGTTGTTGGTACATGTATGTTTGTGTTGTACATTAAAAGCAAAAAATAATTGTATTTATTGCAGAAAAAGATGGAGTAAGGGTGAAAGAGATGAAAGGAGACAGAGGACAGAGGAGAAGGGGGACAGAAACAAAGAGGAGGGTGGACATTGTCAAAAGGAGAATGGTAGATTAAAAGGTGAAACATACAACTATACATGACATTGTTTTTAATAGAATCAAACAGCTTAAGTAAGTTTATTTACATGTGTAATTGTGTGATAATTTTTGTTGTGAAGTAGCTATGAGAAGGACTATTAAGCTAAAAAGTAATTTTGCATTCAATTTTAGTTAGTTCTATTTACAACAAATAGGCAAGAAGAAAGAAGGAAGGCCCTTAGGTAATTAAACAATAGTTGAATTACTTGTACTTTAATTTCACATTTCTTAACTAAAGACTTGGAACAGTTCAGGCCTGCTCTCCGAAGTAAACTTAATTTTAAGTGTAAATTAAAGGCTTTATGCCATTGTAATTTAGGGCAGTTGGAACTCATTGAAGAGGGCAGGAGGAAGAGGAGGGGGAGTAGTGAGGAGATGGGAGAAGAAACAGAGACAGGGCAAGAGACAGAGACAGGCGAGGAGACAGGGACAGGAGAAGAGACTGGGACAGGACAGAGAGAGACAAAGGAAAAAAATTTGAAGTATCAAAAGAGCATTATTGAAATGAGTAATCACTAGAATTTTTCCTTTGCTTAGAAAAAGGGAAGGCAACACAGAGGAGGGTGGGGTAAAGGTGGAAATCGTGGAAGAGGAGGGAGGGGAGGAGGCCAAGGATGTAGAGGGGGACGCCAAGGAGGAACAGGAGGAGCCCCTCGTCCAACAGTAAGGAAAGGAACATAATGAAACATAAGAATAACAATAATCTTTTATAGGATTCATCAGCAAGTGCCAAAACTATAAATTACTTTAATGTTAAATATAGAAACCTTAATTATAGTTCTAAATAAAATCTAAATAAAAATATTACCTATAAACTCAAGCAGAAGCGATGTCTGGATGTAAATGACCCAGATGATGTTATTGGCACTAGAACACATAGCAATAACTCTACAACTTTTGTAATGAAATAACTTACTTGTATTTGAAGTCTCAATGCATGGCTTGGCTTTAGATCACTCTTAAGATGTCCAAAAAGCAAGAAAAGTAAGTTAAAATGCTGTCAAGTGCTTCTTTTGTCTTTACCCGTTTATTAATTGATGTGGGTGTGGTTTACGTGGTGGGCGTGGTCACATTTACTACGTGAATGGGCGTGACACGGAAACATTGAAAATAGCTTAAAATGCCTTTTTCTCTGTACTTGTATTCCAGAGCAATCGTCCAGATAGCGTCCCTAACTGCAAAGTTTTATTGCGCATTGTCATAAAATGGATATCGCTGGAAAGAAAAATTTTTCCTCTATCTGTAAGTACCAAAAATTGATTTTACCGAATTCCCGCAGATAGCCTGGTTTTCTCATATCGGGTCACCTATACACAATAATTTGAAACCATCTCGACAATAACAAGATAATTATTGTTATTAACATCAATTTTTAACATGAATAAAAACATAAAAATGTAACAATGAAAGTGTTTTACTTCATACTGGACGTTACTATTAATAGCTAGTTACATGATGCTTAGCTATTTTAGCACACTTATGATCCTTGGAATGCTTCTTACATGTAAATAAAGACCAGTCCTGTAGTTTTAAGAAGTTAAAAGATGGTCATAATCATCCACACTCCAGCTGCAAAATAACAACTGAGTGAGTTATTCCATCGTACCTTGTCCTGATGGACTGAGACTAACTCTGATGATAGACACTAGTCATAGGACTCAGCTGAATGCACTTCTATCTTCCTAGCAATGGAGGGGCAAGCGCCCTGGCTCCTGAAAGCATAATTTAGAAAAACAGGAATGGCCAATGGTTGAGAATATTCCTATGATAAAATGCTATAAAAGCCAAAACAGCAACCAAAGAGCTTACAAAAGAGATAAATAGAGTATACTGAAACAAAAGGACAGCTCAAAGTGGCTCCCACAGCTAGAATGAATGGATAAAAAAGAAGATTGTTTAGCCTGTCTTTCCCTCCAAAAAACCCGCAATTTTACCACCATTTTGGTGGCGCGTTAATTAGAATCATTTCTGTGCATAAGGTCCCTTCCAATGAAAGAAATGAAATTATGATTTTTATTGGTTAGACTATACTTTTCTTTATTAATATTAAAAATGCTAACAATGTATTTTCAATCATCATTTTCTATTTTTATTATAGCCACATAACAAATTTGATGAACACCAATGCATTAGAGGTGAGATGGCAAGTTTCCTGAAGCCTAGAAATTGTAGGAAATTAACTTTTCACACTCTTGCATTTACATAATTATCTTTTTCCAAATTTTATGGCAAAACTTATATAGGCGGTAGCCTATATGTAGGATTGAGGTTCATTTTTCAAGATGGCGGCCATTTTTATGATTTTCAAACACTTTTAACTCCTTTATCTTACATGGTACAGCCTTATTAATGGCTTAGATGAGCTCTCCTTCACTGAGCGATTCTCCAGGTACCTTTAAAGTGGACTGTAATGTAGCGGCAGCATTTTTGGATAACAGGCCCAAATTCAAATTTCTGCAAAATTCTTCAGCCTTTTTCTTATTCTTATTTCATCTTCTGCTAATCTTTTAATCCAGAGAACTGCTGAAGTTGCCTTTTAAATCACTCCTCTGGGCTTGGGTAAAGGACCACAAAGGTAGTTTCAAAAAGAAGTGAGGACAGAGACCAACATGGAAGACAAAATCCAGCAGCAGCCACCACGTGGGTTTATGTTTTGACGCCATTTTAATTTACACGTACGTGATTAGCATGAATATAATTAACTTAACCACAGAATGTAATATCTTAATTTAAGAAAAAAGAATGGAAACAAGTAATTAAAAAACATCAAAAGTGGGAAAATAGTAGGATTGAGTGTGGAGAAAAGTAAAGAAACAAGAAAGTACTTGCAAAATGGTGTGGTAAGAAATGCTACACCACTGCATGAAGATTTCTACCCAAAAGCACAGCAATGATCCTGACTGTCAACTATGATAGCACTATGAAGCATTTAATTTTTATGCAGTGGTGTAGGATTTCTTACCACACCAGTTTGCAATTACACTCTTGTTTCCTTACTTTTTTCCACACTCAGTCCTACTACTTTCCATTTTTTAATGTTTTTTATTTACTTGTGATAAGGGCAATCTTCTAGTGATATCAACAACAAATATGAGACCATTCACAAACTCAATAACTGTCAATTAAATAGCTCATAGAAAACATTACAAAAGGAAAATATTTTAGGAAATACCCTTCCTCTTATGTTTAACTTCACTGCTATTGGATTTACTCCAAATGCTTTAGGATCAGTCACAATGCCCCCACTCTCTCTGTATAACTGAGCAGCAGCACTTCAACTTGGTAAAAATCTCATATCAATCACTTGCAAATATCTGTTCCTTAACATTAATACATTAGGAAATCTAGCTGGTACCAAACCTCTTCCTAAGAATTTAAGAAGTAATAATAATCATAAATATTTCAAACCAGGGATTGGATTTTCATTCCAGGACTGGACAAATAAGTCCATTCCAACTGCTGCCTCACGAATTGCAAACTATGATACACAGATATTGTGAATTTTATTATCAAGGTTAAATTGCTGGTTTTCTTGCATGTTTCTTAACTAATTTTATTGGATAAGTTACTAGCCGTTTTACTTCTACCAACAGGCATTCTATAGTGTGATTCTGTATCAATAACAATTAGTTAAGAAAATAATTATTACATTGCTACCTTTCTTGAGGTTGTTTGGAGGTGAGGATTTTCAGTTGGATTGTACCAAAGATGAGACAGACTCTAGTGTACATGTAACATCAAGTACCACTCTTTACCACAATCAACCCTCACTTGATTCCATAATCCATTGCTTTTTATGACAAATATAGCAACAAATTACCCCCTTTAACATATCTGCATATCATACCTGTAAAATTTTTAATATATTAATATGTTATTCTTTCATAGTATAATGAGATGCACTATTACATTATTTTAAAATAAAGCAATACCTGAAAAATACTGGACTGGACAACAATTTGAGAGGCAAAGTCATATACTTCTGCCACTTAACCCAGTCCTTTGGGGATACGATGCCAGTAATTTGCTACTAATTTCCTTGTAGCTTTTGTTTTCGAAGACAACTCTTACGGTGATAAAGTTAATCATTCCAAGTAGCAGAGGTGGGCGATATTCTGATATTTATGTTTATAACCGGTACACCGTGATAACGGTTATCATACCATTATTAAAAAATAACATCAATATACCGTATATACGGTATTCCCGTACATGGATTAGTAAATTTCTGTATACTCACCATGTGTAATAATAATAATAGTAATAAAATGGCGGCCAGTTGTGAAAGGAAAAGCGAAGAAAGAGATGGAGCAGAAGATATTCAAGATATAGCAAGTACAGGACTGATTTCTAAACGAAAAGCTACATCTTTCGTTTGGCAATACTTAGGTTTTAGACCAGATGACTGGACGACCTAGAGAAGAAGACCGACCTATCTGTAAGATTTGTTCCAAGATAGTCATTAGTGAAGGTGGTAACACATCAAATCTACTGTCGCACATTCGTATTAAACACCCAGAAGAGTACCAGAGACTAAAAGAGGAGAAGAATGTTAAAGAATAGTAAAAAGAAATTGGCCAAAATATGACACTTGTTGACGCACTACGTAAATCGTCACTCTACTGAAGAAGCAGCAAGAAGTGGCAGCTAATCGTCATATTTTGTTAAGCAAAAGATAGCTTACCTTTGAACTTAGTAGAAAAACCTAGTTTTCAAAAGATGATGAGAAATTTGAATCCAAAATACGACTTACCTAGTTGGAAGTATTTTCAAACATTGCTATCCCCAAAATGTATGGTCAATTGAAAGATACTGTCACTAAAGATCTGGAAAATATTCACCATTTCTCTTGCACATCTGACATTTGGTCAAGTGCAACAATGGAGCCATACATTAGTCTAACTGTTCACTTTGTTACAGACCAGCTTGAGTTCAAAAGCAGTTGTCTACAAACGCTCTTTAGTCCTAATGGGAAAACGTAGCTTTAGCATTAACCGAGTCATTTAAAGAATTGAATTTAAGTCCAGACCGTCTGTCATGCTGTCTTACCGACAATGGGACTAATTTTGTTAAAGCCACCACTATTCTCAGCTGGCCTCATCTGTCGTGTTTCTCACATAATTTACATCTAGTTATTATGAACACCACCAAAAACGACACCTGTGTTTCTCGGATTCTCACACTCAGTAGAAAAATAGTCGGTAGTTTCTCACATAGTTGGAAGAAAAAGAGATTTACGCATAGCACAAGTGGATCATAATCTACCAGAACATTCTCTTATCAATGTCAGTTAAATTAAATATAAAATAGCTATATACATGCATGTAATGTGTAAAATGTATTTGATTAAGTAATATTAATTA